CGGCCGTGGGGGTTGGCGGTGGGAGAGGCTCCTGCTGCCTTTCTGGGAAAGCGGTTGAATACAGTGAGCCAGAAGAAGCAAGCAGCGAGCCGACCAGCGTGACGAGGGCGCGTGGTGTGGAGAAGAGTCCCGGGCAGGGCGACGCGGCGGCACGGGCAGAGGGGCAGGCTGGGGGCGCTTACTTTGAACCTTGCGGGTATCCGAGAGACTGAACGTCGTTCTTTAGAACGAAAGCGTAATTGTGTACAGTAATTGGGAAAAAATCTGCTTTCGGGAAGCTTGGATTCCCTCTTGCTTCCCATCTGCAGGGACCCAGTCAGTCTAACGACAAATTTGATTTTTTGTTTTTGAGGCGGGGTCTCACGATGCGGTGCAGGCTGCCCTAGGACTCTCTGTGTAGGCCAGGCTGGCCTTGAACTGGTGGCGATCCTCCTGCCTCAGCCTCCCTACTGCTGGGATTACAGGCGTGCGCCACCACGCCCGGCTAATGACAAGTCAGGGAGTCAAGAAACATGCTTCCACATTTCTCTGTCCCATTCTAACAGTGCCACTTCTCCGGTCACCTGTCACCTTTTACCCTTAAATCCTTTGAGTTGGCCCCTGAGAAGGCTTTTCCGCAGCCCATGTTATCACACGTCCACCCCCTGCAAAATCTTACTCTCAGAAAGGGAACATTTTAGAGGTAGTTACATCGTTCCTAAACTGTAGACAACAAAAATGAAGCTGATTACAGAATAGGTCCATTTCCCCTCAACCGTTGTACCATAGCTTTTTTTTTTTTATTATTATTATAATGTCCACACAATGTTACCTTTAAAAGTTTTTCATTTTGGTTAACTGTATACAGAAAAAAAAGTACAAAGAAAGAATCCCAGCGCTCTTCCTCCAGCTTCTCCAAACGCTAACATTGTATAACCATAGTGCTGTGATGGTAACTAGGAAATCATCACAGGCAGTACTACTCTGTTAACTAATTTACAGATCCTATTCAAACTTTTACAATTCTTCAACCAATATTCCTTTTTTGGTCAGAACCTAACATGTAGTTGGCGTGTTTAGTTTTCTCCAAATCTCCAGTTTGGAGAAACTAAAGTTTTCTAGTCCTTTTTTCATGACCCTGATGTTATTTGAAGAGTACTAGCCAGTTATTTTGTGGAATGTCTTTCGATTTGAGTTTGGCTAGCATTCCTTCATTTAGTTCATATTATGCACTTTTGCAAGAATACCACACAAATGAGGTCGTGCCGTCTCAGGGCATTATATCAGGAGGCACAAGGTCTCATGAATGGCGATAATATTGATCACCTTGGGTTGAAATGGTGTTTGCCAGGTTTGTTCAGTGAAAAGTTGTTTTTCTTTTTTGCATTTAATCATCAAGGGCAAATATCCTGATCATATGCAGAATAATTTTAGCATTCATGATTTTAAAAAATACAACAGTTGTGGTATTTGCCAAATGACCTACCTATTTCCATCATTTTATACCAAAATTTAATGAGCATTTAAATGAACAATAACTTTTAAAAGGGAGCTAGTAGAGTAATACTTTCCTGGTTTACGCTAGAAAGAAAAAAGGCATTTAGGGACTGTATAGATTGTTGTGGGATCAGGGGCTAAAGTGCAACTTATAAATATTACAGGTAACTGCAGTGTAAGTGAATAGTTCACTATTTGTAGTATTTGTAATACAACTCTAAAAATCCCATTTTAAATGGATTTACAAACTCATTTGAATTATTTTTTGTACAAAGTGGGTAAATGTAAAATCTAGAATAGAAGATAAAAACAATTTCATATTTCCAGTATATTGCTAATTTTAGTTGGCATTTGTAAAACTGATCATTTAATTAACAGTGCATCTGACTCACCTAATAACAGTTCACTCTATTTAGAGTCAATGTTGGCTGAAAGGATTTACTGGAACTTAAAATTAGTATTTCTCTGAATGCCCTGCAGGAAAAGTACAATTCTTGTGGGTGAAACAGAGATACTTTAATCCAAGAGTTGACTGTCCAACATTCTGATAAATCTCATTGGAAGATTAAATTACCCTGTGAAACATTCCCCCCGCTTCATCATATTCCTTAACCGTCTACCGAGGAATCCGGTCTGAGATTGGGGCCTTAACCTTGATGTCATTTTTCTTGCTTTCACTCTCACGAAAAGCATCAGAGTGGGTTTTAATTTTTTACTGAGTATCTGATGCCTGTGCACCTTTCCTCAGCAAACCGCGGAGTCACGCGTGCACTGGAGCAGAACGCAGCGGTGGCCCCGGCGGCGGGGCGGGCTCGGGGACGCGTGCCTGCGGCGCGGCTCCCGGCGGTGCAATCGCCCGCCCGCAGGGCGCGCCCTTCCTCCGAGCCCGCAGTCCGCCCAGCGACCCGCCGGCTCTTCTCGAGGTCCTCCCCGTCCCGGCCGTTTAGGGAGACAGCGCGGAAGCTGCGGGGAGAGGAGCCGGCCACTCCCCGGTGACAGAGGGGAACGTGTCGAGAGCCCCAGGGGTCACCGGGTGTCCCGCGGCGCGCCTCGCCTCTTCGAAGCCGCGCGCGGACGGACGCGCCGGGACGCGCCTGCACCTTCCGACCTCAGCGCCGGGCGGGCGCTCAGAAGGCAGCCGTTGGGACGGGGCATTTTTGTTTGCGAAAAAGGAGAGCGAACTGCCAAAACCCGCTTGTTCGCCCGCCAACCGCGGGCCTCCCGCGGCCCCGCGCCTGCGCCCGCCACCGCCCGCGGCAAAGTTTGGCGCTCGCGTGCGCGCCGGGGCCGGTGCCGGCGTGTGGGGGCGGGGCCGCGCAAGCAGGGGGAATCCCTCTCGAGCTTGACGTCACCTGAGCGCAGACCAATGGGAAGCCGGGAGGGGGATTCCCGCTCCGGGGGCCGCCCAGCCGGCTTTTTAAAGGGTACCCGGGGGACCACTCTCTGGGACGGTGGGAAGAGACAGGGAAAGCAGAGGTAGGTGGTGTAATGTGATGGTCCTGGGGGAGGAGATTCTAGGGGTTTAACGATTAGATTAAATCTGGCTGAGCCCTGGGGGGAAAACCGGAAAAGGTCGGGATTAGCTACTGTCCAGGTACTGCAACTCCTACCGGAGATGGAGTGGAAACTGGAGCGCACCGCCCGGCGGAGGATCCGGACCGAAGAAGAGATGCTGTGGGTGAGTAACGCCCTTCTTTTTCTCTTCCTCGGTCTCTACCCGGGCGTCTTTCCAAAGGCACCATTTAAATACCTGTTTAGCATCATGAAGTGGCCCAAACTGTACATCCCGGTTTTAATTTTGAGTTGTGTAATTTAGTTATATTGTGGAGGGGCCTGGTTGCTTTAAAAAAAAAAAAGTGAATGTGGTTTGAAAAGCTCAGGATCTAGAAAAAGTCCACACCTAACACTGTTGTTTTCTTAAATAGCTTCATTCTCAACGTGCTGTCTGTGTTTTCAAAGGAGAATGTTATGCGGGTGCTCGCCCAGAACATGAAGCAGCGGAGAAGTCCAGGTTCCCCCAAGGTGAGTGTCCGGGCTTGCTCTTGCTCTGTCTTCATTTTGATTTCGAGCAAACTGATTCTTGCTAAAGAAGGCATTTGGAAGAAGTATGGGCTGGTCTGGAAGTAAATACAGAATCTAATACTAAAAAAGTTCAAGAAGCTGAAGATCTCTGACAAATAATGGTAATCATTTGTATCTGAATGGTGCTTTTTAGTTTTTGCTTTAACAGCAAAGATGGAACTTGGATGTGACAGATAGGCAGTGCATTGCTAGCTGGCTGTTAGATTTTCATTGTAGCAGTTGCTAGTTGCACTCCTCTATGTTGCAGCCGGATGTGTGCTTTCTAAAGGAGTGGAAACGGTGACATCTTGTGGACAATATGGAGAAGTGACATAGACCGGGGCTCTTAGCAATTTAAATCTTGATCCAGTGTAAATACTTCTGCCCTGGAAAGACCCAACCCAAAGGTCTGTAGTTTCTCTTGTAATCAGTGTAAAAATTTTAAAAATTAAGAAGTTCTCCACATAAACAGCCCTTATATTGTGTAAGTTTCTCACTATGAACATTTACCATATTTCCCTGTAGGCTAAATAGTACACCTTTAATTTTTTACTCTTAGATTCTTGTTTTTACTCTTAGATTCCATCAACACTTTTATAGAGTTTTTCCCCAGGTAATTTTTTTCTGTATTCAAATGGTGACTCTCTACATTGAACGCATAGCTGAACTTTCAGAATCGTCTTGCTGCTGTGTACCCTGTTACAAATTTAGCTTCCCTGACTCATGGGCCATGAAAAGCAGCAGTGGCCTGAATCAGGTAGGCAGAGTATTGTTAAGAGGCTGCTTTGGGTCAAGTCCATAGCCACAACTGTCCTGCCACACCCTTCTGGATACATTCCTCTTGTTGATGAAGTGTACTGGTTACCTGTGTGTGATGGGTTGGCAGTGTATTGTTAGCTGGTTGAATATATGTTAGCAGCTAACATACAACTGCTATCTTATTGCATATACAATGAACTTCAGAATGTAATCTGTGTGTATGTGTATTTTGCAATGAAGCAGGGACTATTTGCCATAATAGTTGTTATTGCTGTTGAGTTAATTATAATACAATGCACAGCTTTATAATGGTGCAATACTTTAATTATATCAGTTTCTTAATATGGTAGTAGAGTGTCTTATGATCATGTGTGTTTGCCAGCTGAAGAGAAAACTGAGGTAAGTTTTCAGATGAGTCAATCAATTAAAACATGTTCAATTGAAATATCAAGATTGGGGATATCTTTGGGTGGGGATAGGTTGACTTCTTTATTCTATAGTCACAGACTCATACAATATTTGGAAGAGGGCCTAAGATCAGGCTCGTGAGGGGGAAGAACTATCCATAAAAATATTATTTAAATTTTTTCTCATCTCCTTGAAGGCCATTTGGTTCTATTTTTTTTCCTTTTTTTGGTACCGGGAATCAAACTCATGACCTCAGGCTTGCCAGCCAAGCGCTTATGCCGCTGAGCTATATCCCCAGCTCCCTTGAAGGCCATTTGGACCAAGGAGCACGGTCAGATATGTGTTGGGTCCCAGACATATGATGTTCTCATGTGGCCATTTGCAACAAGTTAGTGGAACTTGGTGGTCTGGTCTTATTAGTTAAACCCTAAGTGAGATATGAGAGATACACCACATCCTTTAATGTGTTGGATTATGTTATTCATAAAATAATTCTTATGCTTATTTAAATGTAAATGTATTTGTAGAACATAGTTTAAACATAATAAAACTTGATTTTCATGGAGTTTATTTCAAGTTTCATCTTTTTATTGTCCAGTATTATTCTATTTTTAGAATTTTTGTGTTAAAGAATCCCTTCCATGTAAATATTGTTTTCATCCTTTTTAAAGGTTAAGTTTCAACATATTATTTACTATAAACTCATTGTCCTGACAATAAAAATAAAATCTACTAAATTTAGAAGACTTGTCCTTTGTGTTTTAATTTTTTCAAACTAAAGAGCAAGACATAAAACAATATTTGTTCTCAGTGAACTGAATACATACTTCCATAATGTTGAGATGGGAAATAGATAGATAGGGAGGAAAATGAGGATATGAATTCAAAAAGACAATTTATCCCTACAGAGCGAGGGGAGGCGCGCTGCCAAGACAAGGCAGCAGAGGGAAAGACACTGAAAGAGAGCAGCGAGGCTGTGCTGGTTAAGAAGCTTTTCCTTCCCTTGCTTTCTCCGCGTTGAGCACTGTGCTGGGAGCCTAAGTCCCTCCCATTGCTGCCCTCTGCAAGGCTTTCTGATTCCGGACTCCTCGCTACTCTCTATTCCCCAGAAGAGAACGCATTACCCGTCACTCAGCAAAGTACGCCCTTAATAGTTCGGAGACAGGGATTGAAGAGGGAAGAGTGTGAAGGCTTGGTTTTAGGCGTAACAGCTAGTAGGATATTATTATTCCATGAGAAAGATGACACAGCCTGAGGACTAAATATAGACAGTGTTCCTTCTCAGGTCCCCAAACATGTCATTTTTTTTCCCAAAGGAACACCACAACTAAAAATATTTTGCACAAGGATATTCAGTACTACAGCTCACACAAAGCAATCTTTTGAAACAGTTAATATTTCAAAAGAAAGTAGAGAAATACATGTTTTGGTTTTCTTCTTGGGCTATCTTTATCTCCTTCTTCTGTCTCCCTCCCTCCTTTCCTCTCTCTCCTTCCCTTTGTTTTTACTGGAGTATTTTCCTACTTGAGATTATCTGAAGACAGTCAGTTAGGTTAATAGATTTTAGTGTGATTAAACAGTAGAGCATTAGCAGTTTTTTATAATTCAGACGAGATCGGGCGCGTTCAGGGTGGTATGGCCGTAGACAGTTTTTTATAATTCAGAAACTGCATATACTTCCACATTTTTATATAATCTGTCAAAATAGTATAGTTGCAATAAAAATAGGGTATATACATATGTATATAGTATGTTGTGCTATAGATTTTCTCTTTTGAGTTCTTTATGATGCCTTGATTAAATCAAAGTTTTAGGAATTTTGGCGTGATGGAGGCAGCTTGTGTTGTTTTTCAAGAACCTAAATTTTCTTTCTTTTTTATTTTTTTAAGAACCTAAATTTTCAAACACTGTGCAGGCTAGTTTTTCAACCATTGGTGGCTTGAAATTGCCATTCACGTCATGGAAACTGGCAAGTACTATAAGTCACAATTCATCTTCCAAAGAGTCTGCTGTGGAACATTTACCAGCTACCACTATATATATATGCTTGTGTTTATACTAGAATTATTAAGATGCATATGTACACATCTACATATTATAAGTACATAATTGTTAAGCATGTAGAAAGGAAGCGATTTCAGGCAAATTCATATTTATTCTAGTCTCCAACACCATTGTTACATTTGCCGTGGATGATGATTAGGGGTTCCTACGAAGCCGTTCTTTCCACCCTCCAAACAAAACAGGCCCAAACAAACTTTTGGTCAATGAGTGATTTATCTCAGCTAACATATATTTTATTTTGCCCCTTTCGTCATAAACACAAAGTACCCTTTTATATAATGTCCGATATGTTTGTTACACTCCTTAGTTTAAGAGTCCCGTAGTAGTCTGTATTCTTGACTTTTCGATGCCAAGACAAGGCTGCAGAAAGACTGTCCAGTTCAGGGAAGATGCAGTTTTTCTCAGTGTATTTGTCCAGCCGCGGTTATGCGAGACCTTTCAGTTATGGGCGGCCGCACATCAGCAAATGGCGGCCATCTCTTACAACGCTCAGCCCAGTGGTTATAGAGACCTTGCATGGAGCCATGAGTTTCCTTTCCCTCAAGGAAATATGTAGGACACACCTGCAAAGCTCCACCTGCCTGTTCTGTATACTCACAGGCCAGGGGAGCTCGGCTGTTGTAGGGACTGTAGGTTTGGAGATACGATGTGATCAGAAAATATAATGAATGTGTATATTTTAAAAAACTTGTCACGGTAAAAGCTATGGCCATGAATCCCCCTCGCGATACTTCCCATCGCTTCAAATACACTTATCCCATCATTCTTGCCACTTCTGGAAGCAGTTCTAGAAATCCTTTCACGTGTGTCTTTTGTTGTGCTGTTATGGCTGCCTCAATGTCCTGAATCAATTCAAAACATTTACTTTTCACGGTCATTTTGAAGAAGAGCCAGAAACCACAGCCCCAGATCTGATGAGGACACACTGCAGTCTTTTGAAGAGCCTGCCTTTCCATGATGGCACTCAGCAGCAGCACTCTGTATTTTTGATCCCATCCCTTAAACACGTCGATCACATCCCTTAAAGACTTCCAACACTGCTTCAGAAAGTGGCAAGAATGACGGGATAAGTATGTTCAAATGGGGAGTCGTTCGCAGCGGACGAGTGTTAATGTGTCTTTTACTCTAATAGCTTTTTAAAAATTTAAACATTCACTATATATTTTGATTGTACCTTGTATAAGCGACCCATCCTCTCTGGCTTTGGAGAGAACTGGTGACTGAAGGCATGAGGGGCATCAGAAGCACATTCACTGGGACAGTCCAGGTCATCCCCATGCAGCGTTGTTATCATCCCTGTTTCCTGGGTGGTGCTGGCATCTAACAGCAGAGGAAAGCGTCCCTCCAGTGCCGTAACTGCTAGAGGCTCAAGGAAGTCATAGGGGAAGATGGCAAGAGTACTGGGGAGACAATACTTACAATGGTTGCCCTGATCAAAATTTTGTCTAGAGGTTCAGAACTCAAATTGCCAGTAAGTTATTTAGGATAAAATTGCAAGGGATAGGTAGACTTGTAGGGTGGCTTCTGTTTCTTCACAGATAATACAGGTTTGTTCTCTTTCCTGTTAAGTATACTTACTGACTTTTAGAGTTAGAAGGACTTTTTGTTTCATTTGAGTCCCACTTAATTTACAGGTGAGGAAAAAAAGTTAAGTAGTTAAGTGACTCACCAAAATCCTGCAGCTGATGAGATGGGAGCAGGTTTGCTGACACACTAACCTGACATTCTTGCAGCTATGTCTGTCAGTCACCACTGCCAATGAATACGATGCCTCGGCCCCCACCAAGAGCCCACGAAAGACATTCATGGCTCAGTGGTTGAATATAGACTTTGAAGCAGGAGGCGCTCTGGGAAATATTTTTTGTTTCTTTAAGAACATTAGTCCAAACATTTGCATGAACTATATGTATGGTGGTGCCATTACTGATTTCAATGCCAAAATATTTTCACTTTTATCCATTAGGTCAGAATTAGGGAGTCAAGTCATAGGCTATTTAAGTTGGGTCTTCTTCCTTCTTAGCCGAATTTTATGACTACACACACACACACACACACACACACACACACACACTCCCCAGTCATATTTAGTTATTTTATACAATGAAGATATATATCATGGGACAACAACCTTCACCAAGTTGGCAGGTTGTTTTATTAGTCAATATTTACAAAGCAGATAAATGTAAAAGTCATGACTTTGGGAGAAAAAGAAAAAGTACACTGTTTGTCTACTAAAAGGTCTACATTTTTGTGATTGCAGTCACCCCCTCTCCTTTTTTTACATTAGAGTTTTTACTGTTTGGAGTTGTTTTTTCTGTTTCAGCTATTGGAATGATGCAGCACTGAATTCTTTCCAAATGACTAATTCAGTCTGAGTATATTAGCATTGTATTTATGGAATTTGATTTGCTTCTAAATACAAGAAGAAGGAAAGTATTCAGTATGAAGGCTTTTTCAAATATTATGATAGCATAATTTATAAATGACTATTTGGCCAGATATAGTTAAACACACTAGAAAGCTGTACTCTAAAAAATAAACAAAATCTTGTACATGAAACAAACAAACATATAAGGACTTGGCTCTATGAATATTTTATACCTTTCATCATTTATTTTGTGTTTTATTCATATCAATATAGCCATTACAGGTAGTTACTCCGTAATTTTAGTCACACGCTGTTCTTGAATCCAGTGGTATGCTGTAGTGGCATTTCCATAAAACGCAACCCTAGAAAATGTCAAGTTGAGCAATAGGATATTGAAACACACTGGCAACTGCTGAATTTTTCAATGTGGTCAGATGCAGTATTTAATATATTTCATTTTGATCTTTTGGTTACTCTTACTTTGCTTTACGTAATATGTCCTGGGGACATTCATTATCACCTACTGGCAAGAAAACATTAAAAAAAATTCTTCAGTGCCTAATTTAATTGTCAAAATATTTAAAGCGAGACCAGATTCTCTGGCAGTGTTTCTCTGTCATACTGCATTAATGTGGGTCAGTGGCATATTCATAGATCCTCCTTCTTTTTGACAATGATTTGTCTAATGAGTTCTATGATGTCAGGCTTGATGGCTTCAACTGGCTCCTCTGGCCTCCAGTACTTTACCACTTGGCCCTCAGGATTGACCAGGTACTTCCAAAAATTCCACCTCGGTTCCCTTTTTGAAGAATCTAAAACATAGAGATTCATGATCACAGTTTTGTTTTTTGTCAAAATTTTAATTTTCATTAGTGTCTGCTTAAGTGACAATTTTAGAACATGTTCTAGGATTGTCATAATATCAAATACTTTTTAAAATAAAACACCTAAACAAAGCACAGCTCAGGCTTTGAATAAGCAGATTTGGATATACTGCACTTGATAACTTCACTGATTATTCATCTAGAATCATAAAATGAAGCAAAACAAAGATGTTTATTTTAAATTTGTTGATCTAAAGAAGACATTTACTTTGTCATCAACTCAAAATTTTGTTTCTTAACATATTTAAAGATAAAATATTCTAAAGGTCCCTGGAATTGGGAATGTGTGGCTTATTTTTCATATTAAATATATTAGTATTTTAAACATTACATAGCTGAAAATGGCAAGGAATTCTAAATAATCATTGTATTTGAGAAATACATATGATACCCTTTTGATAAATCTTTGTATAAAACATGTGAATTTTTCCCCCTTTATATATCATCTGGGCTTTAGGTTTACATTATTGATGAACATAAGAGATAAAATGACTATAACTAAAATTTATTAATTTGCCTAGTACTTTACTATGTGCCTGGTAAAGTAGTCTCGGTGCTTTAAATGGATCTTTTCATTTAATCTTTACAGCAGCCCTCTGAGATGAATATTAATATTATCCTCACTTTAGAGAGGAGAAAAATGGATGTAGACTCAAGGTCCTGAACCGGTGAGGGGCACAGGTTTGGTTGACAGCCACGCCTCCTTTCTCCAGACTTGTGCTCCGGACCCCTGGGGTCTGTTACACTCCCCACCTGGGTTCAGTGAAACATTGTGGGTGTGTCACTGTCACCCTTTTTATTGCATAGGGTAAGTGGTGTTTTACAAGGTTTCTTAGTGATAAAGAGGAATAACTTGTGATCTATTGTGCCCAAGTATTTGGCTGTTGTAATTGAGGAATGATTAGTTCAAGGGCATAGACTTTGGCTTTTCTTTCTTTTTTCTTTTTCTTTTCTTTTCTTTTTTTGCCTTTCTGAGACAGGATCTTGCTATGCAGTTCAGGCTGGCCTTGAGCTCACTTTATAGCCCAGGCTGGTCTTTTCTTTTTTGAGACAAGGTTTCGCTATATAGTTTTGGGCTGGCCTTGAATTCATTTTGTAGCCCAGGCAGGCCTCGAACTCACAGTGATCCTCTTGCCTCAGCCGCCGGAGTGCTGGAATTACAGATGTGAGTCACCATGCCTGGCTAGACTTTGGCTTTTCTTGCCTCAAGCATATTCCAGATATAAAAGGAATGAAGACTTCACTGTTTGCTATTCATAGTGTCAGGCATTAAATAAACTTTCCCTAGAAGTTAAATGATTTCAGAGGGTTCTGAATGCATGCTTCTATAAAATATTACAGAGTATCTCATTTGTTGGATTGGAGCTTAATATGCCTGAGGCACAGTCTCATCAAAACTCACATTATTTATGAAGAAAACAGGACTGAAGATGCCCTCAGAATAAGTTAGGTAAGGACTTTGGCTAAGTGAATGTCCTTTACGGTGTGGGACAGAAGAAGCAGCCTGTAAGTTATTTTACTTTTCTAATTAACATGCTTACTACTTCCCCAAATTCCAGAAGGTAGGTGTATTTATAGCTTCATTTTACAAAGGAGGAAACAGGCACGTAGAAATTAACTCACATGCCTCAAGCCACAGGGCAAAAGCAAGTGAACAGGGTTTGAATTCATGTGAGGACCAACCCTGTACTGTCACTATACCACACTACTCTCACGCTAATTAACCTTGGAAAGTCTTTAAATAGATTTCTGCGGCTAGCTTAATTAAAAAAAAAGACTAACACTCTTGCCTTCTGAAAAAATCAAGTTCTGTTTTGAATTTTAGCAAAAACCTCAGATACTCATCCTTGAAGAAACTGAGACAATCAAGCGTAAAGTTAATCACAAATACTGCTCAGTTAATAAGCTCAGTAATATCCATGAGATGCAAAGCTTTAATAATGAGGGCTATTTCCCCAGTGCTAGATAATGAAAAGAATTGCAGTATTTTGTGAAAATAGCTAGGACCACAATTCATGTAAATTTTTCAGGAAGAGGCCTCAAGGAATAAAACACAGTGGATAGAAGAATTCTTTTGCCACCTAAGAAGTTGAAACATTAATTTCAGGACATCATAACTTCTAGAAAGTTATGAAGGATGAGATTCTGGTTCTTGGATAGTTCTATGAAAATTTCCCAATAAAACATTTCAAATGAAATAGGAAAGTATGGTCCTGGTATTTCATATTTTAAATGAAAAGCAATTTAAAAAGATTACATTGGTGAGGCAAGGTAGATATTTACCAACAAGAAATTTAAAGGCAGGTTCTGCTTCAGATCCTAGAATCTTAATCTTGTGGAAGATAGGGAATGTTACTCCGTAGTTTTGTCTTGCAAAGGATTCTATTTCCTGGCTTGAGCGGGGCTCCGAATCGCCAAACTGATTGCAGGGAAAAGCCAAGACGCTGAAATGGAATGGTCCAAAATCCTTGTGCAGTTCCTTCAGCGCTAAGTAATTTTTGTCTGTGAGCTGGCAGTCACTAGCCACGTTTACAACTAGTGTAACCTCCCGGAAAAAGAAAAAAAAAATCAACCGGAAAGTGAAGCAAAAGATTAGAAAAAAAAAAAAAAAAAAAAAAAAAATCTTTCAAGGAGATAAAATCCTAAACCGTTTTGTAAGACTATAACCTCTGATAGATGATTATTTAATATTTTCATATTTTTATACTTATTCAATTTTATTGAAAACCATAATCCAGAAGACTAAAATATTACTGCCATTGAAAAAGCGTTAGGTACTCATGAAAGTTTTATAACTAAATGATACTATCATTATTACAGTGCTTTAAAATATTAGATTACAATTAATAGTTTTATTAATAAATGCCATCATCTTCATGTTCCTGACTGTATTTTGTGGACAACTGAAAGTACTAAGTCAACACAAAAGTAAAGCATTTTTGAGAAAAATAAGACAATCAGTTCATCCATTAGAAATACATAAACTCTCAGAATTCTGATACCGAAACTGATGTACTAATGAAGTCACTTTAAAGACCACATTCTAACTACGACTATTTAACGGCAAAAGCTGATTATAGTGAGATAAAAAGCAGAAACGTGCAGAAACAATGGAAGTAAAACCAGAAGATGTAACTTACTTTGCCTTTAAACTTCTCCAGAGAAACCGTTCTTCCTTTGGCATCCTTCACTTCAAAGGCATAAAAGCTGTTGATTTTAGGTTTTAGGAATTTTAGTTGTAGAAGAAATAGCATCACTGTGCACAGAACCATAGACAGCAAAACTGCAAATACCTTTGCTTTGGGCCCGGAACATTTTAATGGGTGAGCAGCGAGAGGCTCCATTTTGGACGGTTCTAGTGGGAGTCTCAGCAGGCTGGAATTCAAGGAGGAGCTGAAACTTGAAACCCGTGTAGTTTAATAGAAAGCGGGGAAAGACGGGCTGGCTCCTTTCACTGCTGAGGAGTAGAAGCACCCTTTCAGTGGCGGTGGTGAGTGAAAATCCAAAGGAAATAGGGAGCTCTATATAATTTCAAGGTATTTGTGATATAACTGCAATTTTTGCCAGAAAAACTAGTGCATTTTTGGTAGCTCTTAACACTCTCCCTACAAAGAAAATATTTCGCCGGAAGATGGTGCTCTTGTAATTTGGAAACTGAAGTCCTCGCTGCCCTGTAAGCATCCGTGTTCTCCTTGAGCAACTGGTTGGATCCGGCGGGGCGGGGCGGTGCTGCAGCACTCAGGAATAGTAGAGATTAAATGCGATCTACTAACACGATGTCTGACCTTGTGGAACTTCAATACCATCTGTATAGATTAAAACTACTATATCAATTCAGGGAATTAATAGTGGAAAGTGCAACGAAATATCTCAAAACACTGTTTACACTCATCTAACAAGGGAAATCAAAAGCCTGTGAATACAGTTAAATTACATAGATTGAAAACAATGAAGGCATTAAAATGTCTTCCTCAGTCATAAACTATAGTTCAGCGTTTTCAAAACTATAGTTCAGCGTTTTCATTACCACTCTTCTCAAGAAATGCACTTTATAGCATAACTAAGTATACCCCCGCCACACCCACACCTGAGAAGTTCCACGAAACGATCATTTTCCTTTGAACAGCAATGCATCTGTGTCCACTGCACTTTAAAAACAGCCTGGTTGTAGCTGGGCGTGGTAGCACATTACTGTGATCCAAGCACTCTGCAAGGCTGAGGCAGGATGATCACAAGTTTGAGATTAGCCTGGGCAATTTATCCAAACCCTACTTGAGACTAGCCTGGGTGGTCTGGGTATGGTTGTAGCTGGGCATGATGGCACATTCCTGTGATCCCAGTACTCTGCAAGGCTGAGGCAGGATGATCACATGTATGAGACTAGCCTGGGCAATTTGTTTTTATCAAAAAAATAAAAAGGGTTAGAGATGTTGCTCAGTGTGAAGGCCCTGGACTCAGTCTCCAGTACCACAAAAAACAAAACCAACCCCCCCCAACAGCCTAATTCTTACCAATAAATATGCCGTCATGCTTCACCAACAGACTGCAACCTGTAGGTAGAAAAATACTGAACTCTGTAAAAAAAAAAGTAGCAGTTTAACAGTTAAATAAGATATTTCTACAAACAAAACAAAACAAAAAATTCCAAACTCATTTTTTCTTGGGATCATCAACTAATTGCTTTATCTTATGGCGTTTTCTTCCGGTTGTTGCTTGCTAGAGGAGGCCTGACTTTTTTTCTTTTTTTTTTTTTGGTTTTTCTCCGGTACCGGGAACCGAACTCACGACCTTGCACTTGCCAGGCAGGCGCTTTGCCGCTGAGCTAAATCCCCAGCCCCCAGGAGGCCTGACTTTGATATCGCTAACCTTGATGAGTTTTAAAGGGTAGGAACAGGGAGGCCACTGAGGGCTGCATATCCTAAAATCCATGGTTCTGTTAGTTATCTCAGAATCTACCCTATGTAAGACAGAGTAAGTTCTAAACCAAGGGGCCTGAGCTTTGATGTATGATGGGTTTCCAAACTTAAGGGAGTGCCCTTTCAACACTGTGGGGTTGCTGGAGCTTCAGAGGATGAGCTCAGGGGTGCCCCACTCTTCCTCTCATCCCCACTTCTGTGGTGTGTGTGCTCAGGACTAAGTGAGTGAAGCCCACAGTGAAGGATTAAATCTTTACACAATTCTTCCAAAAGAACCACTTTATTCCCTCTCTCATGATTGGGTAAGAATGGACACAATAGAAAAAATGATTATGCGGGAAGTATTTCCTTTTAAACCTAATTTTGCATAAAGGACAAAAATGTACACAAACTGTACACAGGTGTAATAATTTTACTTCGGTGTATTCTGGCTGAGTTGCTTAAATAGTGAAAGTCCCTGTGTTTTTGTTCTACACCAGCGTTACCCAGTTACACACTCTGGCCTTGCTGTCCAAGGGGCGCCCTTGGCCCTGCAGTGTGGCCATCACCCGGGCACTTGTTAGAAACGAAGCACCTCAGGGTCCGCCCGACTTCCAAGTCACAGTCTGCATGGGATTCTCTCCTCATGACTCATATGCACATTTAAACTTGAGAACTTTTAGAATGCAATTTTAAAAAATTCCTTAGCAGATACATTATTTTTTTTTATTCTTAGCATGCGTTCTGTACTAGATATTTTAGCTAACTCCTCAGGCTGCCCAAGCAAGAGACTGCTATAGCTTGAGCCCTGTAAATCCATCCTGTTATAATTGTGCTATGAGATGGGGTGATGGAGTGGTTACCTCTGAAAACCACTGACTGACCACCCTCAGACAGGGCCACATGGCATGTTATTATTTTGATAAAATCATTATGATAGTTTCTAGCCCATTGTAGTTTAAGTATAGAAACTCTCATCAAGTGATCTGGAGCTGAATGGTTTTGAGAAGGCCAAGATTATGCTGTACAAATGTCCAAGTGCTTGTTGTATAAACCAGCATGTTGGGTAAACAAGTATGCAGTTCTCTGGCTTAGGTTGGTTTTTGATCAGAAGATGCACTATATATAAACACTAGTTTGGAAGCTTTAGTGCACATCTCTTGTGAAGGATGAAATGAGAGGTGTTGTGTTAACTTAATGATCCTGAGGCTGAAGAGCTCAAACAGTGAAAACTTGCTGTATAACTTTCCACCTAGGTCCATTAACCAAACATTCAAGATGATAATTTGGAGAACCGCTGATCTGAATATTGTCTAATGAACACAGATTTGGCCCCTGTGCTTCTCTCTCTGGGCCTGTTTTGATATCATTATCTTCAGTTCTGGTGATCTGTTGTCATTGCTTCCATGTTCTGTCTCTGGAAAGACTAATCTCAGACCACAGACATGTAACAATTACAGATTTCTTTGTGGAGTGGCAGTACGCTAGAACAATCACTAGCACTCTTTCAGTAGATGAAGGAAAGCTGTCTAAAGAGGAGGTAGAGATTGATTAGTTGAAGGCCAAACCAAAGGGTCAATAATGGGATAAAGCAATGGACTCAGTTAATCAATCAACTCAGGCATTAGGGAGGATACAAATTACAGCCTCATACACATTTAAAATCAGTTTTGGAGATATGAGAACATCTTCCAGATGGGAAGAATTAGAAGGCAGAAAGTACTTTTAGCTCTATGCTATACTTGGTATGAAAATGACTTTTGCTTATAAAGTTTACTGTGCATGTGATGTCCTTCAGAGTATATTATTTCCTTCACAACAATTCTTTGAAACGGGAAGAAGTTTGAAATGAGAAGAAGCCAAGATCATAGAACTAGTGAATGGAACAACCAAGAAGAGAGTTTAGGATTTTCAAATCCATAATCCAAATTATTTTATCTTCATTAAAACATAGTTTTGTAATAATTAAAATACATTTATTTAGAAGAAAAAAAGAGAGACAAGATTGCTTAGCAGTACTTGGGCAAAGAGGTTTTATTCATCTGAGACATTTCGTTTCATAAGAAATCACTTACGAGTCCAAAGGGAGGAGAGAGTGGAGAATAACAACAAAGAAGCTTGCCATGTGTACTGAAGTTATCTGGAACACATCATAGGAAGTCTGCAGAGCAACAAGTCCAGATAAGAGAAGACAGAGGCTGAGGGAAGCAGCCTTTGCCAACGGGATAGAAGGAAGGGGACCGATGCTTATGAGGCTGTAGAGCCGCCAATGACAGGCTCTGGCAGTGGAATGTAATAGATAATGCGTGCTTGAAAATGATCTTGGTAGGTTGATTTATTCTTCAAAACTGATGATGTATAGAAACAAAAATTGTGCGTATTTATAAGATACTCATGTGATGTTTTGATACATATATACACTGTGCACTGTTTAAATCAAGGTAAGCATGTCTTATCTCCTCAAACATTTCCTGTTTTTGGTGAAAACATCTAAAATTTTTTCATTTAGCTTGTAAAAATATACAGTACATTACCACTATGTATAGAAGCGTAACAATGTTGGGTTGGGTTGTACTGTCCCCTGGGACGTGAAGGCAAATTTGGGGCTCAAGAATGAGATGAGCTGGAGGCATAACTCAGTAGTTCAGTGCTTGCCTAGTATGTGCGAGCACCTTGGTTCAATTTGTAGCACAGATGGGGGGAGGGGAGAGAGAGAGAGACAGAGAGACAGAGAGACAGAGAGAGAAAAACAGAGAGAAACAGAGAGACAGACGGAGACAGAGAGAGATACAGAGAGAGAGAAAGAGAAGGAGAGAGAGAGACTAAATTTGAAGCACTTTATGGACAGAGCAGTGGTGTAATGGGCTACTGTGGGTAGGGTGGTGGTTAGGGCTAAGGAGGGCCAAGGAGGGACATGCCTGAGAGCTCACGGGAACATTTTTATTACTTTCATCTTTGTTAGGAGATTCTTGGAAGACTCTGGCATCACTATCATGTCTTTTCTGGAATGTCCAGGTTTTCCGTACCCATTGAATGTTTGTATGTCACATTGTTTATTACTAGATGTATTTATTTCTCTTTTCTCAGTTGTTTCATTTTGTGACTTCCTGACCTTATTTTAACCTCTCCAAGTTCCTTTCTATTTATTTTTTGGCTCTGGTGCTCTGAATTCCTCCCAATATAGTGTCAATATGATGTGAATTCTTAAAGTAAACAAACTGAACTGATGTGCTTGAAGTATCAAGGCATTCATCCCTTTTCCCTTCTTTGTCTTATTTTTCTTATCTTCCTCTTCCTCTCTATTAATAAATGCTTGAGTCATTTAAAACTATGCAACAGGCATTTCCTCAGCAGGAGATAGATCTGGGAACAAAAGTTTAAAAACATTGAAGATGAAATAGCAGTTTCTTAAGCCTGTAGTCATTTGCATGTCACCTCTGTGATTTTTGCATATCATTTGTTATTAACATTTTTATTTGCATATATTAATTTATTTCACACAAATTAATATTCTATAAGGCAAAACTTTATATCAAAATACTGAAAAATTTAAAACATTTAAAATTTACATTAAAATATAGAACTATTAAAAATGTTTATCTGTACCACTACAAAGCATGCGCATATGTTGCCAGTGGAAGGACTGATGGAGAATTTCAGTGTTAACAGAAACTGTGCTGTCTTTGAAAGTTCTTTGTATTGAATAAAAATTTGCCTCCTCCATTCATTGGATCTGGTTTTGCCATAGGGAGTCATGCAAAGTAAGTTTTTCTTTTTTTTCTTAAATTACATCCCTTTAAAAGTTTGAAGAGAGTGCCTTTGGAGTCTTCTTTCTCCCAAACACACGGGGTTCTCTTACGTCACCCAAGGGGGACCATCCCATATGTTGGGATGTTACTCTTTTATCGTGCTTACTGTGACCCTTGTCACTGCCATCCCTATCTTCCAGATGAACTTGGGCTTTGAATCCTGGCCCGCTTCTCCCCCATCTTAAAGAACACTCCTCAGCCTGGAGCCATTTATTTCTCCAGATGAGTTCTGACTGGTCTCCAAAAAATGGGATTTTGCTTTCTGCTATTCTGACACTGTTTTTTTTTTTTTTCTTTCACTTAATGAGACCTAAAACTGTATTGCTTTTTAAAAAAGGCAGTTTCATCATGCAGTTTACTCTTAGTGGTGATTGTCTAACTACATTTCAATTCTCTTCTTTTGCTTCTACAATGAAAAAAATCTTGGATTTAACTTTGTTGCTTTTGATCCTTGTTTCAGATTTTATTCTGAATTCTTTACTATTTTAACCTTTTTCAACTTAAAATAATCAACAACTTTACTAAATAAATTTCCACTTAAGCCACTGGTAACAAGCCTTGAGGAATAAGTAAAGCCAGGGAGAAACCTCTACAGCTCATCACAGGGACTTACTCAGGCTAACATAGATTGGAGAAGACTTGTTTCATCTAGGATGCGTGCAACAAACTTAATCCTAGTTACCTGCATGCTACCCATCCCCCAATTTGGAAATCATGAAAACATTTGTCTGTGGAGGACATTTTTCTTATTTGTAATTTTTTCCCATAGACCAATGAGAAGTATCAGTATTAGCTCTGCAATTGCTGTCAGTACTCTTGGGTGTCATTTACCTCATCCAAGAGACTTGGACTTATTTAAAAATCCCCAGGTGCACTTTTATTGCTTTATTTATGTCACTCTCCAGTTTCTGTGGAAATGTTTGTTTTACCTTGTCCAACATGAAAATTGTTTTTAATAGAGAAGAAAGAAAGTAGCCTATTTCCTTGCCTCTGGATTCATGTTTAAATCTCTTGTGTCTTTCTAATTTTTTTTTTTTTAGCACTCATGGCCTCTAGAGAAAGAGGTCCATTCATTCATTCATTATGGAGTTCCTAGATGCCAGTAAACATGCTATGCCTTGAGGAAAATAGAATGAAAGATGAAGTCCTTGTTCTTCAGGAGTGTGTGATATAAGAGGAGAGAATTAAAAAATATGCAGAAAAGTGGATGGTGAGCATAGATACTAAAAGCACAGGGTCTTGACTGATTTGTTAGAGCTCAAACCTTGACAGTGTTGCTCCAGCTGGTTGTGAAGGTTATGCACTGCATATTCCAAAGAATGCCGCTCATAGAGATGATGTCTGTACATCTACTGTTCAGTAGCCTAAACCTGAATCCTTGCTCAGGTTATTTAACTCTATTAAGTTTTATTTTCCAACTGTATAAAATAGGGTAATAATAGTATCTACCTCATAGGATTATGATGAAATTCATAATCTAATTTATATAACCCATTACTTGGCACATTAAGCTCTTGATAAATGTTATTATTAATTCACTGTTGTGATGCTCTTCACATAGTGAGCTGTGAAATCCAAGACAGGCTGTGCATCAGTATATTACAGTCTGGCTGCTGTAACAAATTACCACAAACTTGGTGGCTTGAAAGACACATGCATTTTCTGTCAGGTCTGAGATCAGGTTCCTTCAGCCAAAGCCAAGCTGCTGGCAGGTCTCGCTTCTTCCAGAGGCTCTTGGGGAGAATCCATGCCTTGTTGCTTCCAGGTCCTGCTGACTGCCAGCACCTCTGGGCTTACGGACATTAGCACTGCAGTCTCAGCTCCGCGATCATGTTGCCGTCTCCGCTCTGTGCACAGTCAAATCTCCCTCTGCCTTTCTCTTACAAGGTTATGTGTGCTCACCAAGATAATCCAGAAGAGTATCTTATTGTAATGCAGGCTGGTCCCTGATTTAACCACATCTGAAAAACTCCTTTGCCTTTTCCCCCTTTAACATGTACAGGTTCCAGGAATTGGGACCTGGATATCATTAGGGACCATTAGTTGGCCTACCACAGGCTGACAAATGCTTTTGCAACAAGGATGAAGGGAATTTCTGAGACACTTTCCTGAAGGAGTTGTTGATGAATTTAGCCTTGAAGGTGGGCTAGGAGTTATCCTGGCAGAGAATTGGGGAAGAGATCCCAAGAGGGGAATATCCAGGTGGACAGAGTAGCAATGTCTGAGCCCGAGGAGCAGAGACCTACAAAGAAAGGCAATGTGATTGTTAGTGTGAAAGTTCTTCATCATTTTTCATAGCTGACATGTCACAGATGTATTCTTCTTTGTTTTCCTTTTTTAAAACTCAAGATTTTGTTTTCTAAAAAATTGTATGTTTAAATTCTAAGATGCCGAGAAAAACTTGGAGCAAGTGCCTCCTTTGTCTATCATGCTTTTTTTGTGTGTGAATGAAATGTATCTTCAAACCTGGTGGCTCCAAGATAAAGGGTCACTTGAGCAGTGTTACAGAGGCCACCTGACTGTGGCCTGCAGACTTTCTGCTTACTCCCACAGTGTTTCAAATTAGTTAGAATCAGCTAACAACTTTGAAAAGTGGGGAAATTGATACAAAACGTCTAAATTTCACAGTGTAGTGTTATTTCATGTTACATTTTAAATTTAAATATAATTACCCTTAAACTATTTTGGTACATCCAAAGACACTTGAGCAGAAGCTCAAATTTTGTAACGGTATCTAAAATACATTTATAATGTTTTCTTAGGTCATGAAAATCTCATACATGCGTATTTTGCGTTGTATTAGCCACATGTAATTCTCTTTTAAGGAATTTTTACATTTGTATCATTGAAGACACTATAAATTACAGCTGTCTTTGTGTTAAACAGGTATTGGATTCAGTTACCACGCCGTACTCCAGCTTCAAGAGCACAATTGTGAAGAGGCTGTCAGCTGAAGTTCCTGTGGCCAGTAGCCCACTCACCACAAGATGGCAGCAAAGTCAAATCAGGGATTCGGAAACCTATTCCTTTGGGGATGAGCATTCAGTCAGCAATATCTCAGAATCTGTGGGAACAGTGCTGAAGATAACGCCTGAGAAAGCCTCCTTGACTCTAGGTGAGCTCAGTCTTGAATTGTTAAAAAGGATGTATTCCTGAGACGATCTTTTTCTTGTAGAACTCTCTAGTGTCATATTTAGTTAACTGCTTTTCCCTTTCTCTCCCTTTGAATAAGAAATTTCCAAGATAAGGTGTTAATGAAACAAGACCAAAGGAAAGAGTGTATTAAAAGAAAATTATATCAGTTTAGGTGAACAAAGAACTGTTTTCACATTGGCAGTCCTCAGAGCCAAAGAGGTTCTGGGAGCGCCACCCAGCAAGGTGGGCAGGCAGCATTTATGGACAGAAAATGAAGTGAGGCACAGGAGCTCACTGGCTGCAGTTGGGCCTTTGCCTCATTAGAATATGATCTGATCAGTGGGTGGCTGACTAACTGAAGCTGCTGCTGTGATTGGCTGAGACCCCGCCATCTGTTATACAAGTATATTTCTAGTTAGGCTTTCAGGTACCATAGTTAACTTACTAAACTGTAGTATAGTTCCTTATGCAAGGACTCAAAATGCATCCCCTGGCCATATACCATATGTTATTATTTTAAAATAAATTTTATTGGTACACTTTTGATATACATAATGATCACATTCCAAAGGAGCAGAGTGTAAAGGCTTAAATCAAAGAGTTACATGGTATGATTTTAGGGCTCCAGGAGGATCAAAACCCTCTCATGGAATCTGAGATTCTCTGGAAGCTAAGACAGAGATCTTCTCTGGGCAGCTCTTATTTATTTAGTTATCAAAACAAGGGGGGTGAATAATGAAGAAAGGGGGGAACTGCTCAAAGGCCTCTCTAAGTAGGACATTAAGTTAATTTAGGAGCACTATATTATCTCCAGGAAGGTCTCCACCCAGGGCTGAGATACCTGCAACTACAGTCTTTATCTAGTTGAGGTTGGATCCAGGTGTCCTTAGCTGTGACCTTGTCTTGTCCTTTGAGGCTTCCTGGCTTTACCCACCATTACAGGCTTCAGTTGGGACCAATGACTCATAATGGTTCACTTGCTAAAAGTCCTTGGCCCATCTCCAGATATGGGGCCTAGACCTTGGACAGACTCACAAGTAAACATGGAAAGCCAATTGGTTAGTTTAAATCCTGCTAAGAGCTGCTTTGTAGTGGTCTCTATCATACATTCATCATAGGGAATTTGTACCTGTATGTAATATATCCTGATTCTTCTTTTCTTCCTCATTACCCTCCCCTCCTTATGTTTTAGATATGGTTCTGAAACTTGTATTGCTAGATGATACTTCTGCAAGGATTGTATGTATTACTATATGACTATGCAAATGTCTGTATGCACAATATATATACTTTTGCTTTGCAAAGTGTAGGATTTAATGACTCTAGTAAAGTTTCCTGTTTTATGGCAGTCAGAAAAGATACACATTATTATTGCTATAATCAGGTGTGAAGTTGGAGAAGAAAAAGATGAAAGCAGGAGAGGATGAGAGAAAGAGAAAGTAAAGGAAACAAGGCAGAAGGGAAGGATGGAAAGAGGGAGGGAGTGAGGAGGAAGAAAACTAAGGAGAGGGAAAGGGAAGGAAAGATGACGGAGAGAGAGGGAGACGGAGAGAGACAGTCTCATACTTGCTGGGAGATGGATAGGGGAAGGGAAATGGGCACCAGAAGCCCACTGTGATGGACCAGGTTCATGATCCACCTATCAGAGTCCTAAAACACAAGCTTTTTCTGAGATATGTCACTGTCATTTGGACATGGCCTTCAGAAGCAAAATATGCTGTCATCTAGTGATTTAATTCCTGTCCTTCCCTTTCAAATTCCTAGGCAACATGCTGTAATATTTTAATCATCAGTAGTTTATGAAGACAAATATTGCAAATAGTATGAATTCTTCTTATTGAAGCATTGTAGTTATGCAGATTGCAAGGGAGCTCGAATCTTTTCACATCAATGAAATTTTCATGTAATGATGTTTCAATACTGACATTAACTGACTGCAGCTACAGGAGACACATGATTGTAAGAAAGATCACTATTAATAACTGTCTTTTGTAGCCCATTGTAATTGGGGAGGATAGCTGACTAAAGCTAGGGGCTTCCTTTTTCTTTGAGGGTTCTAAATTATTTATTTATTTATTTATTTTTAATTTTTTTTTTGGTTTTTCTCTGGTACCAGGAACCGAACTCACGACCTTGCGCTTGCCAGGCAGGCGCTTTGCCGGTGAGCTAAATCCCCAGCCCGAGAAATTCAAAATTCTAAGAGATAGATTATTAGTCAAAAGGAGTTTATAAGAAAATCCATTTTACTTCCTGCATAATATTAGATATTATGCAGAAATCCATTTTACTTCCTGCATAATATTAGAAATCAGATACACTGATTTCTCAGTGTTTTGGTGGTAGGATTTCTCTCTTCCTGCTTCATAACTGTGAATACTAAAGATCCTTCCCATCCAAAGGGGACTTTTATAGATATTCATTTGCAGTCATGCTCTGCGCACCAAACCTGAGAGGTCTCTGCTTTCTTAGCCTAGTGGGCCTGACCACTTTGTTTTTGTTTTATTTTGTGGTACTGGAGGTTGAACCCAGTGCTTCACACATGCTAGGCAAGCACTTTGTCACTGCACTATATCCCCAGCCCTTTCAAAATTTTTATTTTGAGAGCGGGTCTTTTTGAATTTCTGAGACTAGTGTTCAACTTGAGATCCCCTGCCTCAGCCTCTTGAGTAGCTGAGATTTTCAGGATGCACCATTACGCCTGGCTCTGACCTCTTTGTTTATAAGTGGATTGATTGTCAGAACTTGCACCCAATCACAGCTTTTCTTGTCTCACTTGAGGTTCTGTGAGCTGGCCTTTTCTGATATATGCTTTTTTATAAATATAAAGCAACCATGTTAATTTCTCAGGACAAGAGCAAAATCTAAAATTTTGAGGAACATTTTATGCTTTCATCACTCTTCCTCCTTAATGGAATATATTTCTGTTAAATTTTGAATCCCAGGACTTGAGGAGCCAGACTGTAGGGACAGTGGAGATGATATACCATGGCAAATATAGAGGGGATTTCATGTGGCAGGGGACCAAGAGGCCTTCATCCCTCTGATGAACAAGTGATATGGCAGGTACTTAGTTTTAGAGGATGACTTGACAGGTTTCCAGGGCAGTTAAAAGTCTAATATAGAAGAATGATTTTTCAGTCTTGGGAAGAGAATATGAAAAAATACTGATGCAAATAACACTGGCTTTTATTTTAGCTTAGAAAGTACTCCACTGATGCTATCTCAAGCTAACTTTACAACATCTTGCCACAAGGGGAAGGGTGAGAGGCAAAGTGATATGCTGATCATCACGTAGTGATCTTAATGGCTAACAAGCATCCCACAGTGACTTCCTGGCAGGATGATCATAGCTTGGGCAAACCAGCTACTTTTTGCACCATCATTTTAAACTGGCAAACTCTTTCTGTCCATTCTCCAAATATGCAAATCTGTTTTGGCCATGAAGAAGTAAAGCATTGCCTCTGTTGTGGCTATAGGTAAAGTCAGATCTTTAATCTTGGCATTTCCTTCCTGTGGTAAAGCCATTGAGGCAGTTTCTCATGAGTGTTCAACTATGAGCCCAATGTTCTGGGTAAGACCCTATCTCTTTCCCTTCCTTCCACTCCCTTCCCGGGATTTGACACAAGAACTTGGGCCATCACATTCTGTTCTACTGTCAAAGATGCCAAGACTAGACTTCTAATCAATGTGATTACCTGTTTTTAAAATCCAACTTCAAAGCTAAATGTCTGTCTTGTAGGATCTTATAAAGAAATACCAAAGACTCCTGTCGAAGGCAGCTCTGAAACAAATAACTCTGCCCTCCATTTTTGCACGGCATCTCATGCACTGGACAGAGATGGGAAGGAAAATGTCTCCAAAGGCCAGGTAGGCAAAGGGAAAAAACTGAAGAGGCAACATTTTGAGAACTTCAAACAACTGAGGTCCAAATGTGAGTACAGAGTTGCTTAGCTAATGATGGATTCCTGACAAAAAAAATCAAAATACAGCAAAAACAAAATAATCAAGGACATAAATAGAAGTACATAAATAGAAGTACTTCAAAAAAGCGAAAGACATAAATACAAGTACTCCAAAAAAGAAAAAAAAAATCGATACAATGCTATTACCTTTGTTTGCCGGGTGTGGTGGTGCACACCGGTAATCCCAGCACTTGGGAGGCTGAGGCAAGAGGATCGTTGCGAGTTCAAGACCAGCCTGGGCTACAAAGTGAGCTCAAGGCCAGCCTGAACTGCATAAGGAGACCCTGTCTCAAAAAAGACAAAAAAAAAAAAAAATTCCCCCAATATATAAGTGTTGTTAGGACCAATCAAAAAGTAAAAATGGGAATAACCATTAAGGAGTAAAGAAAGACAACAGCCATGGTGTGCTTCCTCTTGGCCAAGAGCTCTTTCTACAGCACTGACTAGGTCTGCCTTTTAGGGCTTCTGAGAATAAATCCAATTTTCCTCCTAGGAGATGGTCTTTTAGTTATTGTCTTAAATCTTTGTTATTGTTTGTCTCTTGGTTAAGTTCATTTATTCTTTTAGGTATCTCTTATCATTTTAAGACCTTAGGAATACAGTCTAAGTATTATGGACACATTATACCAATGGCATGTTTTCAGGTTTACCAAATTTAGTGAAGAGTGTCTGAAGGAATCAATGTTTCATTTTAAAGCCTTTGAACTAGAAAAGTCATAACTTTTCAAGTTAGGCTAAATTACTCTTTTAGTGTGTGCCTCCATCTGGGTTTGCCATATATAACATGCTAGAGGAACAAGCAGACATTATGAGTGTAAATTCAAATTACTGAATTCCTATACAATTGGAAACAAATGTATTGGAACAAGTCTTTCGTTAAGGCCTTGTTGTTGGGTGTGGATTTAGGGTTAGGGGATCACTAGAGAATTCTACTGAGATAACTATGGGTGTAGTTTGCCTCATCCCTGGGCTAGGTTATTAATGTCACTGTCCTTTCCACCCTCTACTGCTGATTGGAGATTTACTGCCCTGACCCTGGGGACTTCCTTTTTCCTTCCCCTTTTTCTATCTAGTAACTGGTAGCAGCAAGGTTGGTGGCTCTGTCTGTGGGATTATAAGATACCTCTTAGAGCAATTGTTACACAGATAGAACATTATCCAGGTATCACTGAATGACTCTGGCAGGGGACAGTGGAAACTGTTGTCATGGCTAGACATCAAGTAGCACTGAAAAAGATGGAAATACTTTTACATAAAGCATTGTAGTCTTTATTGGCTCTCACCAATCGTCTGGAGAGTTTTTCTACAGTGAGGGCTTGCAGAGCTATGGACACCTTCAGAATTCATATTCAGGGAGCTCTGTGCTGAGATGCTAATTAAAGGAATAAGTAGATCTCATCTAGAAAAGAGCATCCCTGGGTAGGGAAGTGAAGCATGTACTGGACAGTGCTTTGTTCAGCTTTGTGGGATTCTATGGGACTCTGAAGAAGTGAACCTGTCAAAAGCAAAATTGAACTACTGATCAGCAGGCAATTAAAAAAAAACATTGTTTTGTAGCAGTGGTTTTCAGCTGAGGATGATTTTGTATCCCAAGGTACATTTGGCAATGTCTGAAAAATGTTTTTGGTTTTCACAATCAGGAGGGCAGCTACTAGGTCATTCCAGGGATGCTAAACATTCTGCAGTGTGCAGGACAGCTCTCTTGACAATGACTTATCTGTCCCAAAGTGCCAACAGTGCTGAGATTGGGCAACTTTGCTTTATGGTTATTTTTTCTGTCTTAAATACATAAAAACCATGATTTATTGACAAGCAATGTTCATAATGTGACATCACATTAAGGGAGAAACCACAATACTAAAACAATGCTGTCAATGAGACATCTGTGTAAACTTCAAGGTCCGTGATTGCCATATACATAAATTTAAATACTGTATACTGTGAATAAGTGAATGAAAAAGAATCTTGGCTGTTTTCATCCTCTGAGGAGCTCGGGACCTTGTTGGCACT